ATGATCAATATTAATTTCATGTTCATGTTCTTCATAATATTAAGAAACTGACCTAAAATAATGATTTTGTATTGCTTTAGAAAAAATGTGACCTGTCCCTTTAAGAAAAAGTATCGGTAATTGGTATCGGCGAGTACTTGAAAAAAATCGGTACTCGGTCTTAAAAAAGTGGTATCGGAGCATCCCTACTATATATGTTCTACTATCTATTGCAACGATGTATTTAGCTGTTTGCTTCAAATTCCACTCAAATGGTGGACAATGGAGGCTGTTTGAATGTATTACAATGTAAGGTGAAACCGTAAAGTAGTCATTGATGGATATGTACATATTTCAGTTATTACCCCAGCAGTACATATCACCAATCGTATATGTATCTCTTTTTTGTAACCTCAGTTGCCCTTCATTCATTAATAACTAATAAGCAAATTAAGTGCAACATCATTCACTTTAAAACTATGTACTTAATTGAAAAACCCAGTATGAAGACTGTAGGATGACTTTCAAGTCCTCTCCAACTGACAGATGGTACAGATTTCTTTACATGTCAGACTACTATTAATAAATGAAACCATCTTTTAAAGCGTAGAACATGTTCCTGCGAACCGACAAGCACAGAACCAATGTGGGAATCTGAAGAGTGAAAACACAATATCTATGTTTTACAATAAGATTGACTGAACAGCTGAATCTGTCACGATGTACTTCTTGTGAATGTGGGCACAAGACATTTTCTGTCAGAATTTGGAATTTAGGATGTCAAACACATATATTTCTGGTAAACAAATGTTCCTTTCTTCTACATTTTGCCAGCAGGTTCATGCACAGTATTCCAGAAAACATCAACTAAATATAACATTATACGATTTTGTGTATGTCATGTGATGCTGAAAGATGCGACACATTGTGTCAATAGGCAAAGGTTTCTATATGCTATTCCCTAATAGTTACCATCTAGTACTATACATTTCTGTATAACATGTCAGCAGAAATATAGAACTACAAGATGATGTAATATAGGCCGGTAAGCATTTTTTACTACAAGATGATGTATAGTATGTTAATAAACATCTAGCAACACAATACACTGCTATAAAATACTGTTCAGAAGACATCCAGCCCCAGAAGATATTGTAGAGTATGTGACTCAACTAATAACAAAACAAAAAAATCACCTAGGGACATGGGGAGGGGGTAGATATCAAGAGTATAAGGACTTATGTAAACTCTGACTGAAAAGTCTTCTGCTGATGCTGCTGATCATATGCCTGCTATATTCATAATACAATGGCCTAATAACAGCCATAGGAGCCGCTAAGGCCGTATATCTGTCACAGTGAAAAATTCTATGTATAGACTAAAGAGTCATTTATTCATACTTCCACATATTATAGAAAATTCCATTACCAAGAAACCCCAGATTTCATGGTCTCGTCTCTAGATACAACATATTTATTTAGCAATTGCTATTTGTTGATTGTTCTTTAATCAATATCTAGTTAATGTGCTCTGATGGCTAATGCATATATGACTGTATTTCTTTTTGCAGCCTCCGGCTATCTGGAAATGTGAGCAAGGCTGAAAAAGAGTAATATTAATGACAATTCATCTACATTGTACAGCAAGTGTGTAGCTCTGATATGTCCTGTGTGATGCTGAATATAACGGTATGGTTAAATAGTTAATGAGTATGTTTAAACCTACTGTAAAAGGCATATTAAATCCTTCAATATTTTACTAGAGTTTGTCGTAGAATAACATTTTGTTATTACAACAAAGCACTAGGAGTTTTAGGTCTAAACCGTAGGCTTGTAGATCAAACTGTGAAATGTGATTTACTGTTTAATTTCTACTAATTCAACCTGTTCAATAAGATTTCATCTGTACGCAAATATAAGTGGATGTCTGGCTTACAACCCATAGCGCTATTTGGCATAACACTATTTCTTCTTTAGGCTTGACAATGATTAATGTGACGTGTATGCTTTACTTTTGATTTGCGATTTCAATACTTTTTATACCATTAAACACAACCAGAGAAAAACTGCAATAACCACAAATTTTATAGGGTGAAATATAACACACTACAACTACAAAGCCGAAAGTGTTACATGTAATACATTCCATACTTCTTATACATTCTCATGAACACATTACTTATGTCCACTTAAAGGGGAATACCAGCAAAAAATAACAACATACAAATAATTAGCCTATTAGATGATAAAATAATATGCAATATATACAATATTCACCTTCAATCCAGAAATGTCTACAGATGTGCTTTTTTCCTGCCACTAGATGTTCTCGGCCTGATTGCCAGCATCATTCAACTCACTTCTTCTAAGCCCAGGACATCCTTGAGTCACCCCACTATGTGACTGGGAAGTGTTATGAGAAGCAGCACAGTATTGAGATACTCTCTCTGTCACTCTGCTTTCTCTTACTCTCAACATGCTTAGTTTAAGCACATGAACTGACTGGCCCCTTGTTCTGCCATTTTCTTTCACACTCCAGCCCTGCTATACAGGCACTGCAAGAGGCTAAAACCAGGTCAAATTCAGGTACATACAATGCTTGTATATAAATACAAATATAAATTTGTATCTTTTATATTTGCCTAGAGTTTAGCTTTAAATCTCCTCACCAAGCTCTTCCAGGAACCATAGCATTCTCACCTCATCTACTTAAGACCACAAAAGACAATGGGAAAACTGTGATTACTAGGCAGAGGAAGCTTGAGAGTGATGGAAGTCAGAACAGTGTGAAATGGGAGTGACTATCAAAGGTAGCAGAATGGTGCTACTTAAGTTAGAGATAGTTATATAGCACACTAATAACATTCATATCCATTTTAAACGGTCTTCTTCAATGGATAACTGTACTTTAAGTTCAATAATGTTATTCTTTATAGTCTCACCCTGTCCCTGAACTAAAATAACCCAGATGTAAATGTACCTGAGTCAGAGTGGAACTTTCAGCACATACAACCTAAATCTTCTATAGAAGCCATTTAGAAAAAAATATATGTATGTAGACTAGCTTTTCAATGAAATGGTAGCTATAGAAGGGACAATTTTTGATAAGATTCAAGGGATATTCTTGAATCATTGACAATCAGTGCTGATGACATTTGATCAGTACAAGAGATCGCTAAGCGAAGCTTAAAAGAGAACTGTGGGGTGAGTGAATTACACTCATACCTATAGTTAGAGCCGACGTGCGACATTGAAACTGTCACATGCCAGCTCTATTGAATGGGAAGTGAGCTAAACCATACCGCCACTCACCTCACTTCCTGATCATCTCCCTGTCAGTCACCGCTCCCCAAGCTTGACTAAAGGGATGGATAGGGGAGGGGACAGGCACAGCTGGCTCTGCCTCTAGATAGGCAGAGCCCCTGTCAATCAGCCAGCTGGGTGTATCTCAACAGTATTGTTGGCATCTGTCCCGGCTGCAGCGCTCTCAGCATATAGTGGGCAATGGCCCCCTATATACTGAATTTTGGGTCATGGGAGGATGTTAGTATATGTCCTCTGGGGGCCCCAAAAGAGAACTATGGGATAATAAGGTTACCAGCAGAGGGCCTAAATTGGACCGGTGGGCAACACTTCAGTACTGCAGCTTATATTGTTTTTAGCCTTAAACAAAGCCTGGCCCAGGGATTAGCTGCTCAGATACCAAGCTCTGAATTGGGGGATGTCAGGAGCACATGTGATCAGTGATTCATGAAGCCTTTGATGTTCCATTTAATGTAGTCCTCCACTGCAGCATATATCTGCCTTCCTTTCGCCATCCCTTCTCGAGCATAATAAATTAATCACTGTATTTGTAGTTTACACAGGGCTTTGGACAACCCATGTAACAACAGTGATTGGCCCAGCATTGTCACATAGAACGAGTGACATGTTCCTTTATACCTGGAAGTACTGAGCACTTCCTTTGGTTCCTGGGTCTGGACAAAGTGGATGAAAATACACTGGGGAGGGTTGGGGGACTAATGCAAACCTATTGATTTTCCCTGAATAGGCAATGCACAGGCTTGCTTTAGTCTGAATAACGTAGTGGAACAATGACTGCTATTGTTTACATTTCTGAATTCCAATGGAGATATCAATTGACGGAGATTGGCTACAAAATTCTAGAACTTTTTTTTACTGTAGCAACTACACCTGACTATTAGGGTTTATTGTCTGTACACAATATCATAACTCTTTGCACTGCTTCAGAGTTAGGCTGTAATTCCTACTGGTGTCTTATGCCAACACACAGTTATATGTGGGTTAGGGTGCAGTGCCATATATGAGCCTGATGAAGGGGACCCTGCACATCCCTGAAAGCAATTGTAATTTGAGAGACATCAATAAAATTGATTTGCACTGATATGGAACTTTTTTGCTGGTGACATCTGTATTTGAGTTTTGCTGTCAGTGGAGTCATCCACAGTCATTACGAGCACCCATTGCTTTTTGGTATATCCGTTAAGGAGTGCTGCAAGATGTATGGATATTTTCGTGCATTAAGGTGTATTGAGAACTCATCTGTAACATAGTGTGTCTGTTAATGCAAGCATAAAACTGGGTACATACGGATAGCTTTTTTTCGCTGGCTGAATGAAAAAGATTCCTTCATCCACGCTAAACAGTGTGGATGGACGAATCTCCCACTGTGCCCTTTGTATTCTGATTGGCTGCAAGCATGTAGTTCTGACAATTCTCCAACACTGATCGACTTTTGTTGAGGAGATAGGGCTATCTATAAATCATATTTCAACCGTTACCTGCTGTATCAGAAGAAATTTGAACCATATGTACACAGCAAAAGTGTGAGTGGGCCCTAAGCCAGCAGCAGTTAATAAGGGATAAACTGGAAATTCCCAGCCAGCTGGAGCCCAGCACATACAAAAGGACATACTATAACACACTACCATTTGTTCATAGTTGCTTTGCCAGTTTTTTGTGGACATATTGTTGCTTAAATGTTCATTATAACTTTCTTACCTATCACGTTCTTCCTTCATTTTTTCAACATCTTGCTCCTCTTCTTTCCTGGCAGTTTTAGGACTAGCTTTCTGATCAACTTTGCCTCCTTTGTCATCTTTATTCTTTTTCCCAAACCTAAAGAAAAAAAAAAATTAATTTCATCTCGCCTCTTCCGTCAATTTACAGGAATAACTCAAATAACATGTGTGTACATTCACTTGCTTTAACACAGGACAGGCACAGAAACCAGAGATCAGCTAACAAACTCTCATTGTTCAAGGAACTTATTTTGACAAACTTCCAACAAGAGTGAAAATGTTCTTCCCAGCACAACATTGATAAAGATTTTGCTCTATATTTAGATACAGAGCTGTTTTAATGGTACCATGTAATTTAATTCACTTGGGAGGCTGAAACACAAAAGCTGTTAATGCTGAAAAAACACATGGAGCACAAACCATACGCTGTTGCACATCAGTGCTACAGAAGGAAAACAAAGCTGAAAAAAGTCAATGGACAAAGCAGGCAGCGGGAGCCTAATGCAGCATTGGTTTGGTGTTCCCGATAAGAAAATTAGAAAAGTACATTTATGGCAGTGACATTGAAAGCTTCCAACAGTGTCTGAAAAACATACCTGGGACTAATTAATGACCCACTCACTTGTCAGCTTTTAATTTCTCGCCCTTGTTTAGTCTAATTAATCATCATCTTTAATAGAGCTGTTACTTTCTCTTTGTTGCAGTGGCATTACACGGACAAGCAATTCCTGATATAAGTTAGTTCAGGTATTGAAGAAAAAGCCTACTCTACCAACAAGCAAGACTCACTTCTGTTCTATTTTGCTACTTAGATTGGTATAGTCATCCATTCTGTTTATGTTGTGTTATAGAAATAAGCAGTTGCTTCTGCTACATTCTATGCAATGCACAATACATTGAAGGGTCAGTCCACCATCAACTGATCCTGTATTTCCTGTATCTCAAAGGATGCTATTAACCACTTGCCGTCCGCCCTTGTGAGCCGCTGATGACAGCTATTAATTTGAAGAGGACAGTCCGGGGAACAGTACTAGTATAAGCTCATGCAGTATAAGGTCATGCAGCTTATAGCAGAACTGTAAATGCCAGGTCCATATGTCATATGTCCTTGGCCAGCCGGGAACACTTTTGTTCCTCCGTACGGCATACGTCCTTGGCAGGGAAAGGGTTAAATGAAGGTTCACAAAATGATGTGATTACCCTCGCAGTGGTTTTCAGACACAAAGTACAGTTTTTTTTCTTCATCCAAAATAACACTTTCAAAGTCCACCGACTTTAGGTTGTCTGATTACGAAGCGCCTTTCCCACACAGGCTGTATCCAGACAGCCTGCCACACAGGCTGCTTTTCACCACACAGGTGACACACTCCTCAGTCCACCAGACACAGACTGGTCCCAGGGTGGAGCACTCCTGACTCCTGCAGAAACCTCCACTGTCACCCAGGTGGAGCCCTGAACCTGGCCCAGCATGCTCCTCATAAGGGCTGTGCACAGGTGCACCATCATTTGGTGCTGGTCACCACTAAAGCCCAGACCCAGGAATGGAGATTTCAGGATCCCCGTTATAATTTAGAAACCCGGAAAGAATTTCAAAGCCAGCTCTTTCCTGGTAAAAGTCCTGGAACTGCTCAGCCCCTCTGGCTGAGAGTCCTGGGTGACCCTTTTGCCACTCTACATAGAGTAGAGTGGCTGCCACAATATACATACACGCA